CTCGAGCAGAGGCGCTGGACCTGGCCAGCATTCTGACGAGGGCGCGGGCGGTGCTCAGTGACGAGCGCACCTCCACGGTGGCGGCAGCGGCCCGTGAGCAGGCCGACGGAGCAAGCCGCCGTGAGCCGACGGAGCGCAGAGCCAGCCGCCCCCCGCCGCGCTGTTGGGTATGTGACCAGGTGGGTCACATCGCAAGAAGGTGCCCAAACGGTCGGGAGACCGCGTCAGCGCCAGCGCCGTCTCCCAATCAGTAGCGCGCACACTTCCGGTCGTGTGGATCAGTGTGAACGGGCGTAAGTGCCGTGCTCTAGTGGACACGGGCTGCACGGACACACTCGTTCATGCTGGAGCCTGCTCGGACTGGTCACCGCGCCCGGTCAACATGATGACCGTGAACGGCGGGACGCTGCGCTGTCTGGGCATCGCTGAGATCACCGTGCAGCACCGGGAGAACCGGGCGAGCCTGACGGTCCTGGTCGTACCCGATCGGCCGCTGGGCATGGACGTGGTGCTCGGTATGTCTGGTATTGTGGCACTGGGCGGAGTGTGTGTGAAGATGCCCAATGGCGTGGAATTTGGTGCGGCAGTGGTGCCGGCAGCGGCAGCGGCGGTGGCGCCGACAGTGGTGACGGGGGCGGTGCCGGCTGTGGAAGCAGCGGCACCGGCGGTGACGCCGGCGGTGCCGACGGTGGTGACAGGAGCGGCGCCAGCAGCGACGGCGGCGGTGGCGGTGCCGCCGCTGGTGACAGGGGCGAGGCCAGCTGCTGGGACAGCGGTGCCAACGGAGACGGCGCCGCCAGCAGCGACGGCGGCGGTGGCGGTGGCGACGCCAGCTGTGCGTACGGTGGCCCCTAAAGTCGTGGGAACGGCGGCCGCGGTGCAGGGCGAGACGGTGGCGGCAGGGCCGGTGACAAATGGGGCAGTGGTGGCGGCCAATGCCAAGGCCGCGGCAGGGACGGCGCCCGTGACGGGGGCGGGTCCGGTGAGAGGGGCGGCGCCGGCCGCCAGTGTGGACCGTGGGGACCTGTCAGTGGACGCCGTGGATTTTACGGCCCGGTTTTCGGCGGACAGTGGCGAGTGGACGGTGGCCTGGAAGTGGACAGACGGAGAGGGCCCGGACCGCCTCCACAATACTGTCGCCCAGTACAAAGTGCCGGACGCAGCACGGCCAGCCTATGACGAGGAGCTGGAACTGTGGGCTCGAGAGGGGTGGCTGCAGCCATATGACGAGCGAGTGGACGGCCCAGCGCGCGGTCTGATACCTCTGATGGCGGTTGAACAGCCCAACAAGGACAAGGTGCGGCCGGTATTGGATTATCGCGAACTCAACAGGCACGTCACCGCTCATACAGCAGACGCAGAGGTGTGCGCAGAGCAACTCCGTCGCTGGCGGCGGCACGGCTCACGATTGGCAGTGCTCGATCTGAGAAAGGCCTACATGCAGCTCCGGCTGGACAGACGGCTTTGGCCATACCACACCGTACGAGTGCGCGGTCAGCTTCACTGCCTGCAGCGCATGTCATATGGGCTGAATGTAGCTCCGAACATCATGAGATCTGTGGTGCGGACTATACTTGAGCAGAGCGATGCGGTCAGCCGGGGCGTTCTCCCGTACGTTGACGACCTTCTCGTGAATGAGGACGTCATCTCCGCGGAACAGGTTGCAGAGCACTTCTCCCGGTACGGCCTTGTCTGCAAGCCACCGCAGCGCCCGGCTGACGGCGCTCGAATGCTGGGGCTGCAGGTGAGTTGTTCGCGCTCGGGAGAGCTGCAGTGGCGCCGGGACAACCCCGTCGGCGCACCGCCAGAGGTGATGACGCGCAGGGCGCTGTTTGCATGGTGCGGCCAGCTGGTTTCCCACCTTCCAGTGGCCGGCTGGCTGCGTCCAGCTGCGGCCTGGCTAAAGAGACGGGCTAATGCTCTCAGTCAGGGCTGGGATGACCCCATCGATGACCCGGACCTGCGCGCTCAAGTCAGTCAAGTGGCTGAAAGGGTGACCTCCAATGACCCGGCCCGTGGACCCTGGAGGCTGACGGGTGAAAAGCTGACCGTATGGACAGACGCCAGCAGCCTCGCCTCGGGCGTCGTCCTGGAGGATCCGGAAGGCGGCGTAGTGGAGGACGGGAGCTGGCTGCGGCCGGAGACTAAGGCAGCCATGCATATAAATATGGCTGAGCTGGACGCGGCGCTCAGCGGCGTCAACATGGCGATCGCGTGGGGGATCAGAGTGATCGATCTCCGCACGGACTCGGCGACCGTTCATAAGTGGGTCGGTGACGCATTGAGCGGCCGGTCGCGTCTCCGGACAAAAGCTCATGCCGAGATGTTGATTCGCCGACGGGTGGACATCATCCGTGAGCTGGTGGCTGAGTTCCAGTTGACGATCACCATCAAGCTGGTCAAGTCAGATGAAAATCCGGCGGACGAAATGACACGCGTGCCCAAGGAATGGCTTCGAGCCTGCAGGGCAGAGGAGGAAACAGCAACGGCGACAGGCGCGGTGCCGGTGGCGGCTGCAGTGACGCCGGACGGAGAGTCCACACACCCCGACACGGCTGCAAAAATTCGAGCGGTGCACGAGAACATTGGACACCAGGGTGTCAGGCGCACGCTCTGGTATTTGCGGCGTGACGGAGAGCGGTGGGCCACTAAGCCAGCGGTGCGCGCAGTGATTCGGACGTGTGACGTGTGCCAGTCAATCGACCCGGCACCGACCCGCTGGCGACACGGGTCACTGGGCGTTCAACTGACCTGGGAGCGTCTCGCCATCGATGTCACACACTACCGTGGCGATCACTATCTGACCGTGGTTGACTGTGGTCCGTCCCGCTATGGAATATGGCGGCGATTGCGCTTGTCAGATGCGGCCGAGATCACTGCTCATCTCGAAACCGTCTTTCTGGAGCACGGGGCGCCAGCAGAACTGCTTCTGGATAACGCCACTGAGTTCCGTGGTCGCCGCATGGGAGCGTTCGCGGCGAGGTGGGGCGTGACCCTGCGGTTCAGGGCGGTGCACGAGGCAGGTGGGAACGGCATCGTGGAGCGTCATCACCGGACGATTAAAGTGATGTCAGCTCGGAAAGGTTGTGCCATAGCTGAATCGCTTCATCGCTACAATATGACGCCCCGAGATGGCTCGCAGCCTGAGAGCGCTCCCGCCGCCGGCGTGTTCCGTCGTGTCGGGCGTGACCTGCCGGTGACCGGCGCCGGCGGACAGGATGACCGGCCGCCGCCGGCTCTCCCTGCAGACTCTGAGCCGGGAGCCGGCTTTAGGGAGGGCGACCTGGTGTGGGTGCGGCGCCGCGGGCCCGCGACCCGCTGTACTGACGTTTCCCGGCCTGGCACCGTCACACGCATCGTGACCGACCAGCTTATCGAAGTTGACGGTGCTCCGTGGCACGTTAGGTGCGTGCGCCACCGGCACAGGGGACAGCCGACGGCGGCCGAACCCCCGATCGAGGACGACAGTGAGCCGGCTATGTCGCTCGGTGCGTCAGAGCATTCATCGGCGGTCGGTGAGATTGATCCCTCTGTAGAGGTGGAGCTGCCGCAGTCGACCTCTGAGGAGCCACCGGCTCAGAACAGTACTGAACCGCGACGTAGTGCAAGAGTGGGGGCTCCGCCAGAACGCTTCGGTGTACTAGTACCGAATAATATCGGCTGACTGCTGTAATGTATTTTGTCTTTCGTGTTGATTGTGTCGTATTTCGTGTCTTAAGTGTCTGATGTAGTGCATTGTGTCATATTGCGTGTGTACGTGGAGATGTGTGATCTTAAAGATCAGGGGGACGTGTAGTTTATAGTTATGTGTGGCTCTGTGTGACCGGCTGAGACGCCTCGTGGCCCAGACGCGCCTGGGGGACGCCGTCTAGCCGACACTGACAAATGTGTCTAGAGGGGGGTGTCCTGTTACATATGTGGCGACGGGGGCGCCGCCAGAGTCGCGGTGGCGGCGGCGCCGAGTCGTGCGAAAGGGTTGGCAGTGTGGTTGGAACGGTCGCGGGAGAAGCACCCAATACACTCGACTACATGATGTCAGACCAATGCTAACATAAAGGTTAAAGCATGCAAATTAAGACTGGATAGACAATTTGAAGCTGTCTTGCAAGATTATGAGCTGAGATGCTACGCAAATTCTGGCGTCCTAAGCGGGAGGCTTGGGCCACCCACCCCCGTTGATAAAAAGATGCTTTCATTGAGTGTCATCTTCAATAAGTTTTTTTTTTGTCGCGCAATGGTTGAAAATTTAACTTCAAATTTCATTCGAACAGAAAACTATTAAGACCGGATAGCGGCACTCTCATTCCCCTAATCGAAAAACACGTGCTGGCAGGAACGACCATTCATACAGACTGCTGGGCGGCGTATAACCGTCTCATTGAATCCGGCTTTCATCACTGCACTGTGAACCACAAGGAGAACTTTGTGAGCCCAACTGATAACCAGGTGCGCACGCAGAAAATCGAGCGCCTCTGGAGGAACACGAAAGAATGGCGTGCCCGACCCGGTAATTAGGTGAAATACGCTCAACAGTACCTGGCACGGTGTGTCTTCTTGAACTCTGTGCCGCTAGAAGAAAGGGTGCACCACTTTCCGGAGTCTGCGAGGAATACTTGTGCCTGAAACAGACTCTTCCCGCAGTCAGGAAATCGCACGCGAGAGCCTATTCAAAAACATGGAACCACGCTCGCATCAATCGCACGCACCTCCCGGATGCGATTGATGCGGGAAAATTAAAATGTATTTGAATAGGCTCTCGCATGCGATTTCCTGAACGCGGAAAGAGTCTGTTTCAGCGTTTACCCCCACCACAGTCAGCGGAACGACTAGACTTGAGGCATGGATGAAAGAACCTGGAAAGGAAACTCCTATTCCTTTAACCCTCGCCGGCCGGGGGGGGGGTGCCACCCCCTATAGTTTTTTTTTTCGCGATAGCTCCGAGCACGTTGGCAATGGAGAGCTGAAACTTGCTGCATACCTGACCTTTGAATCAAGCTGGATCAAAGGGCCATGGGCGGACCGTATTCTGAAATTCAAAGAAAGACGGATAATGGGCGGATCTGGATACGACTTACCGGATATGGGCCGGGCCAGATCCTGAAAAGCCTATCCGTGAAGTGCTGTACGGCGCTCGATACCGGGCGCCGGTGAGGGCCGGGTCGGGCCGGTACCGACGGCGCCGCACGCTCACCTGGCGTTCCCGTCGGGCTGGCCGCCGCCGTCACCGTGAAGAGGCCGCCGGCGGGCGCTGGGCGCGACTGGGCGGCGCCGGCCGACTCCGCCCTCATCTGCTGACGCGCCGCTGTGGGGGCACAGGGCCTCAGACACGCCATAGCAGGTCGACGACATGGACGCAGGGCACAGTACGGCGCTCATCGTTTCACTGCGCCGGCGGCTCGCCAACACTAGCTCAGACAAGTCGCCGGAGGCTCGCCAACACTGGCTCAGGCAATCAGCCGAGCTACAAGTTAGGGGCACATTCTGCCATTATTTGGCGCAATGTGGTTCTCCAATTACAGTATGACCATTGTTAAAAATTAAAATGCTGACGTGTTAAGTCATTATGCCTTCGTCTGGCCTCAAGTTTATGTAGCTTCGCTGGCCAGCCGAGCAACCTACCCAGCTAAAAGAGCGCCCAGACTGCGCCGCCGATACGACTACCGGACCAGTGCAGGTCCCACCGAACGTACCCAGCAGCGCGGCGCGCAGTCCGGCGCTCGGGCCGGCTCTCTTGCCGGCGGCGCGCCGGCCGGCCGCCGGCCTGCTGACGGGCCGGACCGGGGCGGCGGCGCCGGCTCCGGCGGCCGCCGAGGGCGAGTCCACGCCGCGCCAGCCGGCCGCCCGCAGACGCTCCAGCCGGCCGAACTTGCGGTCCACGTCCTCCACCTGAGGGGTACCGAGACGCCGCCTCCGACTCACAGACACATTCCAAGCCAACTTTGTCGCACTCGGTCGACTATGCGTGGCAGAGCGCCCGACACTTTTTCACAGTGCTTTTAACCCGGCAGTTGCTGGGGTATTTCACCACCCGCCGTTTGCTGGGGGGGGGGGGGGAAGGGGCGTTAAACGCCCCCAGCCGGTAACTCGAGAACCAATAGGCGCAGCGAAACGCACGAGGCGGCAAACGAAAGAACGCGACGAGACGCTTCAGATGAGTACTTTAAAGTTGAATTTTGAGGTCACAGGTCGGGTCAAGGTCAGGTCAAACACCTGAAATCGGGCTTTCAGTAGCATGGACTTCAGGACTTCGCAATGGGCGCCTCTCGTCATAAGCTCTGTCAAAACGGTGCACAACCCTTCATATAAGGCCTACAAGAGTGTCAGCTCCATGTAGGGGTCAGTCAAGCATAGGTCAGGGTCAAGGTCAGGTCAACCGGGTAGGCACATATCCCCGAAAATCAAAGCTTATATTCGCAGCCTGTGAAACATGTTTTATGGGTAATTTTGGGCGTAGAACACGATGGTGACATTTATTTCATTATATGTGTACGTGTTTGGTTCAAAAAGTTCAATTTAAGAAAAACATGTAGGGGAAGGTGGGGTAAGACGGACCAGCTAAGGTTTGAGGCCGCATATCTTGCTACACTGCTCTCGTAATTCATATTATTTATAGTCTTCGGAATGCTCAATTCTTCCTCTGTTGATATGTGTAATTGTGTATAGACTAAATTTCAAATTAAAGACATCTAGGTGGTGGATGCTCTTAAAGAGGGACATGTCAAAAACTCAGACAAGAAAAAACGTGGGGTAAGACGGACCACCCAGCAGTGCCTGTTATCCGTTCATGTGTGTTACACTTCTGCTCTGTACTCTTGTAAGAAAAAGTAGCCAGAATGGTAAAATAACAAAATGAGCCTTTATTCTTTACTCATGTGTGATGGAAATGCAGCTAAAAGCTGGGAACATGTGTGTTGATTGTCGTTTGGTATGAATGCATGCTAACTGAGCACTTGCATGCATGGCTCACATGCAACAAAAACTCCTTCCTGAAAAATTAGCTTACTTAAACTTGTGTCAATGTTTTGGGAAAAGAACTTCCATATGCAGGGTACAATGGACCACCACAGGGTAAGATGGACCACAGTGGTCCGTCTTGCCCCAAATCTAAATTCTGTCATTATCATGACGTATATGTCAAATAGCCCAACATTGCAAAACCTTGCCTTTCCTAAAGTGTGACTATAACTAAGTTTATAACTTTGTTCTTCACAGTAAAGTGCAAAATAGAAACTAATCATGCAAGAAAGGCGCCGTAATTGAATCACCCGTAGACCTCTTAGATTAGATCGGTTTGACGAAAAACAACATTTTTCTCAATAACTCAAAAGCTATGCATCCTAGCAGCATGAGCTCAAGGTGGCCATTGTTACGAAGGAAAACAAACATAGTGAGTGCATAAAGCAGTAGATACCAGCAGCGGTTCAGCCGGGAGGGCTGGTGGTCCGTCTTGCCCCGCTGGGCCGTCTTACCCCACCTTCCCCTATCATGGTCGTGAAGTAGTCACGAGAAATTGCCAAGATTCAGTTCAAGATTTTGGAAAATGCGGAGCGATAATCAATAATCAAAGATAGCCATTTGATTGTTCATGGCATTGGCAGTCTCATGGCGTTTACGGCATGTCTGTATGTTCGTTCTGTGATTTTATATGACTTTTTGAACATATGCCGTTTTTGGTCGAAAACTCAGAAATCATGACGTCAATAAAAACCTCAATATCTCAAAAATTTCCGACCGATTTTTTTTTTAAACTTTGTCACAATAAACTTCAATAAATTAACTACACGTACCCAAATTTTGGCGCGCCTAGGCGCGCCGTTTTTATGCTATGGCGCGGCAAAAAGTGGGGGCGTTTAACGCCCCCCAGCAACTCGCGGATTAAGCGTGTGTCGTTTGGGTCCTGCTAACGGCTATAGGTGGAAGATTCTCGGCCACACCGACACGCCGCGGGGCGCCGCAGCAGGGGCATCCCGGCGCGGACCACTCAGCCCCACCCGACACCATACATTCAAAGATAGCAAGTTATGCATTTTGCAATTTGCTTTTTACCAACAAAAAACTCGAATACATTTTTCAGTACCTTTTCGACATCGTACACCAAAATAAATAGCACCATCATGTTCCTGAGCTAAAACTGCATCTGAAATTCATTTTTTTGTTGAAAAATATCAACCTCAAAAGGTTGATATTTTTTACCTCAGTAACAGACCCGTGAACAGGGGGGGGGGAGGGGGCAGCGGGGGCGCTTGCCCCCAACCCTTCTTGTTTCCTTTCTGCATCTAAACATCAACACACGGCATTTTCCTTGCCATCTGAATGGTTTCTGCTGATACAGTATCGATCTGACAGCTTCTGCTATTGTCATTTCGCTTTGGTTTGGGCCTGACCTTGGCCATAAGTTTGGCAGGCCAGATTTTATACGGGAGGCCAGATTTTAAACGGGAGGGGGCTCTACAGAGCCCCCTCCCGTTTTTCAGCAATATCTTCTAAACCCTTTGACGGATCAACACGAAACTTGCGGTACCCTCAGCGACATCAATTTGACACCTTGTGTTAAAATTTCAACTTTCTAGCTATTATAGTTTAGCCGGACATGACGTCAGAGTGACGTCATGTCGGCCGATTTTGATGCAAAATATTGAGTTACGGCAAACGCTCTCAAGAGCTCAGTTTTAAAGCTAGATCCAATTTATTTGCATGAGTGGACTACAAATACACGTAGCTAGCAAACTGCTATCGCGAATTCGGAAATTTTTAAACATATGTATTTACAATTAAAAAAAATGATTTTTTTCAAAAAGTTTTTCATTTTTTCGCAAAAATCGGAATATATGTTATAGAACACACACTGATGAACTACACTAGCAAGTTTTAGCCCGATATCTTCAAAAATACCCAAGTTATTCGCATTATTGTCAAAAGTTTACAATAATATATTTTTCAAATCCATTTTTCAGTACGTTTTTGACGTCGTAGAGCAATATAAATGGCACCATCGTGTTCCTGCGCTCAAACTGCATCTGATAGGCACCTTTTTGGTTGAAAAATTTCATTTTCAAAATCTGACCTTTTCTGATCTGAAAGTGACCTGACCTTCGGTAAATGCAGCTGAAAATGACCTCAAATGACACAAACGACATTATTTTCGAAATCTACGAGTAAAATGGACCATAAAACATGCGTCACGTGACCGATACAGGACATACAATTTTCGTGACCTAGGATGACCTGGCCTTGACCTGAAAAATTCGAAGTAAAAGTTCAGTACCCTCAGGGTATCTAAGACATCTATCAGGGAGTGCGTAAACAAAAAATGAGCGTGATATCGGACTTGTCAGCCCGCGGTCAATAGGTTTCGCTCGACAGTTTTCCAGGGCTATCAGACGCCGTTTGAATTTTGACAATCGGCCCAGTAGTTTCGGAGATAGGGGGGGGGGGGTTCTGGAGAGCCCCCCCCCCAGTCACTCGCGTTATGGAAAATACCGCGCGCAGTCACAGTCATGCGCGGGTTAAGAGCTGCTGACGCGAACCCTCTACAGGCCGGCAGGGGGTTCTCAGTGACCGGCAAGGGGCCCTTAGGTCGGCAGAAGAAGTCCTGTGGCGTGGGGCGCCGGTGGGGACCTCAGAGTCACTGGTGTGAAGCCCTCAAAAGTCACCAGTGGGTGGCCTTTAGATGCGCAGGTGTTGACTGTTGGGTCCTCAAAGCCGCCGAAATAGGGCTTTAATAGGTACTGGTGTAGGCACTCAGAGTTGGGTGTGTGAAACCCTCAGAGACACCGATGTGGGCCCTCATAGGCGCCGATGAGGGCCCCAACAGTTGCTGTTATGGGGCCCTCAGAAAAATAAGTGTGGGACCCTCACAGGCGGGAAATGCCCCTAGAACTGGCCCCTCATAGGCCGGTAAGAACTCTCAGAGGCCAGTAACGGGCCTTTGGAGACCACCAAGGGGTCCCTAAAAGCCGCAAGAGGCCCTCAGAAGCCGGCATGGGGCCCTTAAGGCCGCCCCACACTGGACCTCGCATGCGGGTTGCGAGTTTGCAGGTTTTGAGTTTGCGGGCATAATACTAATTCATAGAGTGATTACACCGTTCCCTTATGGTCACTCCATGAATGCAGTGAAGCCGGTACACCTTTGGAAAATTACATATTGTCGCAATGCCAGCACAACGAACCAAAATTAGACTCCAACGAAAAACTCGCAGACCTCGCAGAACTCGCAAACCTCTCACCTCGCAGCGAGGAAAATCGAAAGTTGACTTAAAACCAACTTTTGGAATGCGATGCGAGGTAGCTCGCAAGCTAAAAACATGCAGACTCGCTTGTTAGATGGTAGTGTGGGTCACTCAGCATAGATTGCATTATTAAATTTTGAAGAAACCCGAAAATCCAAAAACCCGCAACCCGCATGCAAGGTCCAGTGTGGGGCGGCCATTATGGAGGTCTTAGTGAGGCTATTTAGGGGCCTATGAGGTGCTCTAACGAGCCACATGGAGCCCTTCTGAGTCGAAATATGCCCATCGTTAACCCTCTGCGGTCAAATGGCGCCGCAGGGCCCCTCGGTCCCGAGGGTCCCTTTGAACCCGATGGAGGGGGTAGGGTGGGGGTGGGCTGGGTGGGTGGGGGTCCCGAGGGTCCCCTTAGACCCCAAGCTAAGCCACTGTTTCATATGCATCATGTCAGGTATTTTAGGCTCGCCCCCCCCCCCCCCCCAACTTGAAAATCGTTCCCGGGCCCCTGCTCAGTGACCTAATCCTCAGCTATTTCCTGCTGAAAATGGTCTCACGTGACACAGACACTGATTTCGAAATATATGGCTTAAATGAACCATAAACATGTGTTACGTGATTGATGCATAATGTAAAATTTCCGTGACTTAGGATGACCTGGCCTTGTCCTAAGTACAAAATCGGTACCCTCAGGGTACCTTTGGCATACCTATATTCACGAGGGTGTAAACTAATTAAAGAGCCAGATCTGACTTGCTGGTCGGCGGCCAGACCCCATATTGTGAATAAGCAAAAAAGCTGATAACTTTTATTTTATTTTGACCTGACCTATTTGGCCGCCTATCGCCGGCCGTCACTGGCTCTGGGACCCGCGCCGAATTTCTGCGTCGGCTTTAGCTGTATTGTGTGACGATGGTCGGCAACTGTACAGATACGGTATTGTAGTGATTTTTATTTTATGTGTTCCTGTTTTAACCTTGTGCCCTTACTCTGACTCGGACCAAACAGTAAGCCAGCACTTGGAATTGTCCATAAACACATTGAGCTTGAATCTGTGACGTCATCGGTGACCCTGAGGTCAACAAAATTACGTTCCGCTAGACATCTTTTCCAGGACTGTTAGACACCGTTTGCATTCTGACAATCGGCCCAGTAGTTTCAGAGGAAGAGAGAGAGAGAGGAAGAGAGAGAGAGAGAGAGAGAGAGAGAGAGAGAGAGAGAGAGAGAGAGAGAGAGAGAGAGAGAGAGAGAGAGAGAGAGAGAGAGAGAGAGAGAGAGAGAGGGGCTATGGGTATAGTGCGCCCCCCCCCCCCGGTGGGGCGCACTATAAAACTACCTCAGTGAGACGCAGTTCAACGCGTTTTAACCTTCCAGGCGGGGGGGGGGGCATTTTGCCCCCCCCCCAGTTTTTTCTCTCTCGATGTATCTCCAGAACCGCTGCGCCGATCGTCACCAAACTTTCAGTACCCTCCCGGGAATAGCTTTTACACATTGTGACCATGTTTTTTTCCAAAGGCTGTGATAGGTTGGCCGCTAACGGCGTCGGAGTGACGTCATTTCTGCCATTTTCGACCCAAAAAAAGGTTTCGCGGGAAGAGAAGTCTTAAATTTTTCGAAAAACACGGAATAAATGTGAAAGTCCTTTTCGCTATCAATCCATATACAAGATTTGACATAGATACCTCTTTTTTGGCCAAGTTATAGCGAAAAAGCTGTTCAAAATTGATGACGTCAAATTTTCAAACTCAATTTTTAGCAATTCTAGACCAGTGGCGCAAAACAAAGACCACCATTAGACTCGCCGTGACGAGGTACATCGAATCAATACCCATTTTATGCAAAACTATCAAATTTGAAATTTTCCCTTTTTTGACCTGACATTGAGCTGACCTCCACCAGAAAGTGAAATAAACCGTACCTGATGGTCTTATAACCAGCACCATTGAGCTGGAAATGAAAATTGGCCATATAACATCCATCGCACAACCCTAGTAAAGTTGGGTTCGTGTACTGACCCTTGGTGACATGACCTGGTATTACCAGTGACCTCCAATAGCAACATATGTACTAGGCAGTAGGCAGCCTACGCCCTATCGATTTTCAACAAAATGCGTTTTACTCGATGTTATAGCGCATTCCCTAAAAGACCCGTGAACGGCGAAACATTTTATCTTTGACCTGACCTGTGACGTCATCGGTGACCCCGAGGTCAATGAAATTGAAATTGGGGTCAATGAAACAGTTCGTCTAAACATGAATGTTGCTCACTCCCAGTATCATGACTTTAATTTTTTTCTGGTGGTTGAGTAGACTGAACATATGACAAGCGAATCAACAAAGGCATGACTCGCGTTTCCTTGAATCGATTCATTTTTTTACTCAAGCTGCCTATACATATGTGACTCGACTCGACTCCAACTCATTCGGCTGTTATAGTGTTTGATTCAATTCGATTCTTGACTCGAAGAAAAGTGACTGATTCTTGAGTCGATTCATGATTCGACTCTGAGTCGTATATAACCGTGGGTCAGGGTCATGAAATTTTCAGGGTAGGTGTAAAATTAATCAGCGCGAGGGTACTGAAAGTTTTGTGGCGATCGGCCGCTTTTTCCGCGAGTTATTCGCGAAAAACCTTAGGGGGGTTGCATCACCCCCCCCCCTGTGCCGGCGAGGGCTAGGGTCGCCCGAAAGGAACAACAACAGTAACAGCAGCAGTCACATTCCCACCGACCCAGTCACAGCCCCACCCTCCCACCGACCCAGTCACAGCCCCACCCTCCCACCGACCCAGTCACAGCCCCACCCTCCCACCGACCCAGTCACAGCCCCACCCTCCCACCGACCCAGTCACAGCCCCACCCTCCCACCGACCCAGTCACAGCCCCACCCTCCCACCGACCCAGTCACAGCCCCACCCTCCCACCGACCCAGTCACAGCCCCACCCTCCCACCGACCCAGTCACAGCCCCACCCTCCCACCGACCCAGTCACAGCCCCACCCTCCCAACAGCCCGAGTTACAGTCGTACCTGGTAGTAGATCATCTCCCAGAATCCCTGCAGGTCCGTGAGCGTGGTGGGCCGCGGGCCGCGCAGAAACTCGGCGCCGTCCACCAGGTTGTCGAACTGCGCGAACCGCTCGCGGATCAGCAGGCGCGCCTGGCCGGCGACCGAGCGCAGCTCTCCGAGCGGCTCGTCGGGCACGCCGCCGGCGGCAGCCACCTGCTCCCAGTGGCCGGCCCGCGCCGACAGACGCTCCGTCTCAGCCGACAGCAGCCGACGGAAGTACCCAATCGACAGCTGCTGGCCGTCAGAGCGCTCCGGGCCCGCCGGCTGCTGCTGCACCGCCGGCTGGGTCGGATGCTGCTGCATCGGCTGCTGCTGCACCCGCGCCGCCTGCTCCTGCGCCGGCGACGTCCTCTGCTGCTGCTGCTGCTGCTGCGCCGGCGACGTCTTCTGCTGCTGCTGCTGCTGGTGCTGCATCGGCTGCTGCTGCTGCTGCTGCTGCTGCGCCGGCTGCTGCTGCTGCTGCTGCACCGGCGACGTCTCCTCCTCCTGCTGCTGCTGCGCCGGCTGCTGCTGCTGGTGCTGCATCGGCGACGTCTTCTGCTGCTGCTGCTGCTGGTGCTGCGCCGGCTGCTGCTGCTGGTGCTGCACCGGCTGCTGCTGCTGCTGCTGCTGCTGCGCCGGCTGCTGCTGCTGCTGCTGCTGCTGCACCGGCGACGTCTCCTGCTGCTGGTGCTGCGCCGACGGCGGTGACATCACTTGCACATGAGACTCTCCGTCAGAGATGTCTGTGAACGTGCCGGGGCGCAGTTACCAGCGGTGTGCAGCTGCCTCCTAACTCCGTAAAAATCCTGCTCCAGTCCGGCATCGGTTGCTCCTATGATACTGTGTTATATAACAACGCTATTTTAGGCGATGTCGTTCGCATACGGTAGAATTTGAACAATGGCATTGAAATTTAATGGCAGCAAATTGGGCTGTTTGATGTTTATGATCATTTAACCAAATCAAGAAGGGAGATTACAGCCTCTATATTCACTGGGGTAGGAGATGGTAAGTGAACACACATCAACATGCCATATTTTGGTAACTTGGTAGAAATGCATCAGCTACTGTTAACGCCAGACCCCTTGAGACCCTAATTTTTCGCGATTACTTTTAAATGCGTGAAGGAATTTCAACCAAGCTCAGGACATGGCCGTTTCAAGACAGGCCGAAACTTTTACAATTTAGATATTTTATCGTCATTTCAATATTTCAGGCACTTGTCATTGACTCGTAATGTTAAATTTCGAGCAAGATTTTCATCCGGTGTGTAGAGGCTATCACCAGTCAGTCTGTGATACGTTATGACGTCACAGCTAAGCCCCGCCTCTGTGGTCTTGGCCTGCGGCGGTTTCGGGCCGGCGCGCGGTCACTCTCGCTGTGGCGGGGAGCGGGGACGGGCGACGGGCGAGCGGTGCCGAAAGCCGGCGGAGTTGTGCGTAGCGTCTTGGCTGACAGTGCCCAGAGAGCGACATGATGACTAAGGAGTCATAAATGCTCATTGCGCATTGCTTCTACAATGCGCATTGAGCATCCACCACTCAATGCGCATCCACCACTCATGTTCGCTGATATATATATATATTTTTTTTTATAAGCTGCAAATGACGGGCAGATGGCATATAACTGACATAAGGTTAGGAAATATTCACCTGTATTTAAAGCCTATGGCGTTGCAGATAATGCGATAATGGGATGTCGGATGTCACCAAGTAGCTGCCGATTTGTACATCGCTATGCAACCATCGAACAACGCAATAATAAGTTAATTGCCTGAGCTTCACACCATACGGCTCGCTCGTATTTCAAACAGACTAGATGGCATGTTTTGCGCTATAACTGTGCTTTTTGATAGATGCGTTTGAGGGGGCATTAGTTTGGGTGTGGGAACTTATAATTTTTATTTGTCTTCTTTTGTCGGAGTTGGACATTTGTTTGAACGGCATGGTATGCTGGTGCTGGTTGCGGGTTGTTAGAGCCTTTCTCATGGTTTGCCTTTATCGAGCTCAAACACACCCTACCCTACCCTAATCTACCCATACCCTATCTTACTCATAACCTACACGTCGTTACCCTTCTCATACTCGATTAAAGTAATGTACCAAATTTGAGCGCAATCGGCCCAGCCGTTCTTGAGATATAAAAGCTGCACGTGCGCACGCGCTAACTGAGACTCTAGATGACTTGTGCCAGCCACCTTTCTAAATGGTCCCCAACAGTGTACAAAATTTGAGTGAAATCGGCCCAGCCGTTCTTGAGATGTATAAGTGGACCCCTCACGTGCGCACGTGCAATCGATCCACCCTACCTGTCACACATGACCATGCATCGCCAAATGAGTGCCCCCTCCACCCACAGTCCAAGTTTCAGCGCAATCGGCCCAGTAGCAGCTGAGTTATTCCTAGTACAAAAATGTGCTGTTCAGTGGAAGGCGCTTATTTTCATTGTTTGGAACTCCCCTTGGCGGGCGGTGTATTGCAGCCCGTGCTTTGATAGCTATTGTCAAAAGTTGAATGACTTGCCGGCCATAAGCCATCGATCGGATTTTGTCGAAAAATACATGTAACGTTAACAAAACACGGTCGTATGTTTGAGTCATTTTCACAAAAGTTTATTGACTTTTCCATAATATTTTGGGTGGATATTGGTCAGAAAAGAATGCTCTTTCCGAATATGTAGGTTTCATAGCGATTGGTCAGCGTTTTCAATACGTTTTGATGTTGTAAAGGACATTGCGCTCCGCGCGGATCAAATTTTTAAATTAATTTTTCGTTGTTAAGGAAATGGTACGGATCATAACTTTTTAATTGCTTTCCTCTGATTACACGTACATTTGTCTGCAAAATGATACAAAACCGATTTCATTCCGTCAAGCCGTTTTCCAGCGGCATCGATTTTCCCGTCACAATGCACGAAATCGGTCATTTTTTCACAACCGGGGGTGCTGTCTTGCACGTGGCGCGTGCTATACTATGAAACCATATCAATACGCTAGTTCCATCTCTCCTCTATCCATTGGTGGCAATCCCATCTCGCTGCGGTCACCCATCGCCGAGTTATAAGCCCGGGAGAGGAGCGCTGCAGGCCCGATTTTCGCCCGTTGACGGTTTTTGCCGGCCACGTGTTAAGCCTATGGGAGCACCCTTTTACACGTGCCGACGGCGCACCCCTGGACCAATCAGCCCCAAATTTTAATACAAAGGCCCCCCACGCCCAGAGAATCGGCATGCCAAATTTCACGTCGCTACGCGGCGCCTTTCAGGCGCAATAAGACACATAAGACATGACACACGGATGGAGATCGTACAGACAACTTATAAATCATAATATAGACTAGATGGCATGTTTTGCGCTATAACTGTGCGTTTTGATAGATGCGTTTGAGGGGGCATTAGTTTGGGTGTGGGAACTTATAATTTTTATTTGTCTTCTTTTGTCGGAGTTGGACATTTGTTTGAACGGCATGGTATGCTGGTGCTGGTTGCGGGTTGTTAGAGCCTTTCTCATGGTTTGCCTTTATCGAACTCAAACACACCCTACCCTACCCTAACCTACCCATACCCTACCTTACTAATAACCTACACATAGTTACCCTTCTCATACTCGATTAAAGTAACGTACCAAATTTGAGCGCAATCGGCCCAGCCGTTCTTGAGATATAAAACTGGCCCTTTGCACGTGCGCACGCGCTGAGACTCTAGATGACTTGTGCCAGCCACCTTTCTAAATGGTCCCCAACAGTGTACAAAATTTGAGTGAAATCGGCCCAGCCGTTCTTGAGATGTATAAGTGGACCCCTCACGTGCGCACGTGCAATCGATCCACCCTACCTGTCAGAAATGATCATGCATCGCCAGGTTATTGTCCCCTCCACCCACAGTCCAAGTTTCAGCGCAATCGGCCCAGTAGTAGCTGAGTTATTCCTAGTACAATAATGTGCTGTTTACTGGTAGGCGCTTATTTTCAGTGTTTGGAATTCCCCTTTGCGGGCGGTGCATTGCAGCCCATGCTTTGAAAGCTATTAACAAAATTTGAATGGCCTGCCGGCCATAAGCCATCGATCGGATTTTGTCGAAAAATACCTGTAACGTTAACGAAACACGGTCGTATGTTTGAGTCATTTTCACCCAAGTTTATTGACTTTTCGATAATATTTTGGGTGGATATTGGTCAGAAAAGAATGCTCTTTCCGAATATGTAGGTTTTATAGCGATTGATCAACGTTTTCAATACGTTTCGATGTTGTAAAGGACATCGCGCTCCGCGCGAAATAAATTTTCCAATTAATGTTTCGTTATTAAGGAAATGGTACGGATCATCGCTTTTTATCTGCTATCCTCTGATTACACGTACATTTGCCTGCAAAATGGCACCACACCGATTTCATTCCGTCAAGCCGTTTTCCAGCGGCATCGATTTTCCCGTCACAATGCACGAAATCGGTCATTTTTTCACAACCGGGGATGCTGTCTTGCACGTGGCGCGTGCTACACTATGAAACCATATCAATACGCTAGGCCCATCTCTCCTCTATCCATTGGTGGCAACCGCTTTTCGCTGCGTCCACCCATTGCCGAGATATCAAGCCGGAAAGCGAGCCGTGTCGGCCCGATTTTCGGCCGACCGCCGCTCTCGCCGACACCATGCTATCCCTATGAGAGCGCCCTTTTGCACGTGCCGACGGCGCACCCCTGGTCCGATCACGCCCAAATTTTAATACAAAGGCCGCCCACGCCCAGAGATTCAGCATGCCAAATTTCACGTCGATACGCGGCGCCTTTCAGGCGCAATAAGACACATAAGACATGACACATGGATGGATGGAGATCGTACAGACAACTTATAAATCATAATATAGACTAGACGGCATGTTTTGCGCTATAACTGTACGTTTTGATTAAATTGGTTTTACGGATGCATTATGCTGGGTTAAAAATCGTTGATTTGTATTATTTGGATACCTACCCATACCCTACCCTGCCCATACCCCACCCTGCCCATACCCTACTCTGCCCATACACTGCTCATATCCTCCACATACTCTACCCTACCCTACTCATACCCTACTCATACTCGATTGAAGCTGTGTACCAAATTTGAGCGCAATTGGCCCAGCCGTTCCTTAGATATAGGGCCGACCCCTCACGTGCGCACGTTCAGTCGGTCCACCGCACCTGTATCACATGACCATGCATCGCCTGGTGAGTGCCCTGCCCACCCACAGTTCAATTTTCAGCACAATCGGCCCAGTAGTGGCTGAGTTGTTGCAAGAATAAATTTACTTTATTTACTGGCGAATCCCCTTAGCGAGCGGTGCCCTGCGCCGGTGTTCGTTGTCAAAGTTCAATGACCTGCCGGCTCTGCTGCTTTTCGTTCAGTTTTGGCAGCGAAGAAAATGAGCCAAGAGCACGTGCTCTCCGCTCGGCGCCAGCCGCGGCCCGTCATGCGAGAGAGATTCACGCGCTGACGGCGCACCCCTGGTCCGATCACGCCCAAATTTTAATACAAAGGCCGCCCACGCCCACAGATTGGGCATGCCAAATTTCACGTCGCTACGCGGCGCCTTTCAGGCGCAATAAGACACATAAGACATGACACACGGATGGACGCACGGACGACTTATAATTCATAATATAGACTAGATGCCGGCAGCGCTCTTGCGTTGCCTTGGGCCAGAATTCGATGAACGGAACTGAGGGCACACACCGGGCAAAACCACCGAAACCCAGACTGAGCTCGGACT